CAAAACAAAACAAAACTTGTGTACATGTGTATATATGTGTCATGTGCATATGTGTGTTTCCATACATGTAGGCACATGTGTGTAGGTGCTACACATCTCAGTGTCCAAATGACCTTTGACTGACCGCTGACACAGCCCAGGGTCACCTGAGAAGTATCCATTAGGGAATGCCCAGATCAGATCAACCTGTGGACATATCTGTGGGGATTGTCTTGATTGGTCGTTGATGTAGAAGGCCCATCTTATGGATCTTACTCCTGTGACAAAATGCCAAGAACGTGAGCAACTTGGAGAGGAAAGGGTTTGTTTCTCTTACACTTACACATCACAATCTACCATCGAAAGAACTCAAGGCAGCAACCTGGAGGCAGAAACTGATAGAGGCCATGGAGGAGTACTGCTTACTGGATTTTTCCTCATGGCTTGCTTAGCCTGCTTTCTTATAGTTCCAAGGACACTATCCCTGGTGTAACACTGCCCACAGTGATCTGGCCCCTCCCACATCCATCATCAATCAATCAAAAAATAAAATGTACCACAGGTATGCCCTGGAGCCAATTTGGCGAGGGTATTTTCTCAGTTGAAAGTTTTCTTTTCCTAAATGGCATCTGGTTGGGTCATGTTGCCAGTATAAGGACTTAGGCCACTGTGGATAGTACCTTCCCTGGGCCTGTGTGTGGGTATGTATGTGTGTATGTATATGTGTGTGTTTGTATATGTATATTTGCTGACTAAGGGGCTGGAGAGAGTTTAAGAGTATTTGACGCTTTTGTAGCAAATCTAACAATCCATTCCCATCAGACAACACAGAGTTGTAACATGAGGTCCTGCTTGTTGAGATTTCCCAGACATTTAGTCCCAGAGAAAATCACACAGATAGTCTACATTAGGTTATAAACTGAATGGCCCATTAGCTCAGGCTTCATATTAGCTCTTATAATTTATATTAACCCATTATTGTTATCTATGTTAGCCACATGGCTTTTTCAATGGGGTAGATCACATCCTGCTTCTTCGGTGATCTGGACAGGACTGGGAGGAATGGGCTTCCTCCTTCCTAGAATTCTCCTGTTCTCATCGCCCTGCCTCTACTTCCTGTCTGGTTGACCTGCCTATAATTCCTGCCTGGCCAATCAGCATTTATTTAAAACATGATTGACAGAATACAATTATCCCACACCACAGAGTCACCTATAACTCCAGTCCCATGGGATCCAACACCCTCTTCTAGCCTCTGCAAGCCCCTGTCCGTGTGCATGTGTGTGCACGCGCGCATATTCGCATGCGCATACACACACACATACACACACACACACACACACACATACACATGAATAAACAACTCTTTGGAGGGAGGAGTGGGGAGGGGAGAGCTCATGAGTGCTTGCATTCCTCCATGGTTTCTGCTTCAAGTTCTCACGTGAGCTCCTGCCCTGGCCTCCCTCAGTGATGGACTATAATCTGTAAGTTTAAATCACTTTTACTTCCCCCAAATTTCTCTGGACAGAGTGCTTCCTACAGCAGTAGAGTGAACACTTGGTTACTTTAGCTAGTCAGTTTGTCCTGGGGGTCTTCTCTCTCGATCTCCCAAGTGCTCAGGTTATGGGTGGCTGCCATAGGGCCCAGTTTTTATGGGGCTTCTGAACTCTGGCCTCATGCTGTGTGGCAAGCGGTTTAGTCACCTACCTCCCCAGCCCCTGTGTAATGTTGTTAACTGACCTGTTTTCATTGTACACGGTACTGGGTTTCACAAGGACATTTTCATTCATGTGTGTAATGTGGTTTGAGCACACAGCTTCCCTCTTCTGTCCCCCTTTATGTTACTTTTTTTTTTTCATATCTGTGACCTACAAATGGTTAAGAAACAACTGTTCTTGCTTTGCTCTGCACTTTTAATCCTAAAGGAGGTTAGGCAGAATTTGGTTTAGAATGTCAAGGAGATTTAGATTTGAATTCTCTTTGATACATTTGAATTGAGTAAATTTAGACAGGCTGCAGATCTTCCCTGAACCCAAGCTTTTTCAAGTGTGACCCAAGGATAAGAAGGCTTATTTTAAAGTTGTAGTAATAGATGAACTAAATATAGAAGCAGTACATGCTAAGAGCATTTTTCTCCTTCTAGTTCCTTCTGAATACAAATGAACAAACGCACCTGCTCTGTCCTGTTCCATGTTGGCTCATGCCCAGATCTGTACATGGTGCCTGGCACACTGGAGATACCAAATGTTGACTCAATACATGGACAGAATGCCTTGGTTTAATGCCCAGTGAAGTCTTTGCCTACAGTGATGCTCATTCAAAGCGCCTATTTTCTAAGAGAGATTTGGGTGCCATCTTTGGTTTTGCTGATGCCCTTCTAAGCCAGTTAGCCCCATGTCCTGTGAAAATGTTCTGGATACATGAGAAGGCTTGATCTGCTTAGCCCATGATCTAGGGCATGATCTGTGCCAGGACTGGACAGCCTAGTATGCAGAATTAATTGATCTGGCCCCTTGTCTGGTTTCATAAGTACAGGCTTATTGCAACATGGCCATGTTCGTTGACTTACCTGTTGTCTGTGGCTGCCTCTATGTCTGGCAGAGCTGAGCAATTCTAACAGAGACCATGTGAAATGCACAGCTGTTTTTGTACTGAAAAATCCTGCTACTCCGTGTGTTGCAACACCCACTCCTTACTTCAGCTCTTCAGAATTGGTTTTTATTCTGTTTTATTTTGCATAAGAGTCTCTCTCACTACAAAATCTGACCTGGCTGGCCTCAAACTTGCAGCCATACTCTTGCTTCAACCTCCCAAGTTCTAGGATTGCAGGTCTAAACCATTGTGCCCAGCTCAATATTGGCCTTAAGAATGTCCCTTTCAATGGATGGGAAGCTAAGAACTAACAATATTACAATTTGGTTCAGGTCTTAATGAATCCATAGCCCATGGCATTCACACTGATACCTGTCAACTCAGCACAAACCTTGTTGAAACAGTCCCACCCTACCAGCCTTCAGACCAGCATGGAGAACAGGCTAGGAAGGTGCTTCAGAGTCATGATACAGTCCTGGAATTTGTCTGCAATCTACCTCAAATCAGTCACGGGATAGAGGAAGGACTGGGGGACCACATGCAGATGGAAGGGTGGGTGCAGATGGGTGGTAGCGAGTTTTCAGTTGAGTATGAACACAATATTGCTTCCCAGGGGGCATTTACAAAACTTTGAATGGCTATGGTTGCTGGATGTGGCGCTCACACTAGCCTTGATCTAGAATACATAATGTGTGTGCAGTGTCAGCCTGAGGCTACCTCGTGGGTGGCTCCTGCTGCATCCATTTAGCTGCGAGGGCTTTGGATATCCTAAGTGGCTTCTTGGAACCCTCACTATTGGATCTGACTCGAAGTTGGAGATGAAAGTTCTTTCATGGAAAAATTCATCCTGATGGAGATTTGATTGTTTTGGGGGTTTACAGGTAAAGTCCAGGGCTGCTTCTGCTGTTACCCCATCAGTCCAAGACCCCTCCTCCTCCTTCTGTTTTTACCTTCCGAATTAATTTTCCAAACTATGCACTGGTTATGGATGAACAAAAGACACAAAATTGGAAGCTTCATCTTTTTCTCCTGTAACCAGCAGGGCTTTTGCCATGAAGGGCAGATAAAACCAGTAACAGCAACAAAGTTACAACCACCCATCTGGAAGTGACATGTTTGGGCAATTCATTTATCTGCCAAAGGCTGTACCTCGTGAAACCTGGCAGAGCTGCCGTCCATTACCCTGTAAAAATGGACGTTGGATCCTTGGGTTGGCAAGGGGAGAGGTGAGAAAGATTAGGCCCCAAGTGTTCTTCCTGCTGGGCTGTAGTCAGCTGTCAGCACAGCTGCCATCAGGGAGTGTCAAAGACTCTGACACTTTGTCAGTAGGGAGCTGCTGCTAGAAGATTCCGCAGGAAGGCTGCAAAGCTGTGGGGTGGACAGGAAGGAATCAAGGCTATAATTAACCTTCGGTTCCATTGTATTCTATAGCGGTGACCCCTGTTCCCCAACAAATGACACCCCAGATTCTAACCCTGTGGCTCACTCACTCATCTTTCTGGCTTATGCTGAAAATGCAAACAGATTTTCAAAAGCAGTGGGGCTGCTTTGGTGTATTGGCGGTAGGCAGGAAAAATGAAGTGACATTTGTTCTGTTGTACCGCTGGAACCCATGGGGGAATGATGGGCTGATTAAAATTGCAAACAATGAGTTAATTGATTAAAATTCTGGACCTATTTAATTATTTAAGGCGAATGCAAATAAACTCTAATACAAAATATCTTTGTCTTTGTGGCTCTTTTGACTAATTCCTAACATACTTTAATTCTGTTTTGTTTGTTTATTTGTTTTTGTTTCTAAACTTTCGGCAACCCAAATAGCTCTATCTTTCATATTGTTTGTGTATGCCTCTCGTTGACCAACCTGCTGTTATGTGCTTATATTTATGTCGTGGGAATATGCGTATTCTGGACTTGACAGAGACTACAGGAAGAAAATTAAAAACTATTAATGACTGTGGTATTCTTTGAGTTGGGAAGATTTGACAAATTTAATAGGACTTTAATTTCTATGGATAAGGAATGCTAGAGGTGATACAATGACTTCCTAGGTAGGGAAAGGGCTCTGCGTGGGACATAGAAATTGATGTAAATGCTGCTCCCTAGAGTTGCCGTACATGGTGTACCGGGTATGAGCAACTCATTAATCCGAGGAAGGAGAAAGCATGTAATTGTATTTGTTCTTCCTGCATCCACATTAAGAAGGCGGGCTCCTGGTGTATTAGTATTTCTGCACAGCTTTGTTTCTCTTTATCTTTAAATCATGTGTAATTTCATGAAGGGTTCTAGTTTTTTTTTTTCTTTGTGGTTGGGGAGTTGGGGTAGTAGTGGTGGTGGTGGTTGGGGTGGGGGAGGGGTGCGTCCTGAGGCCTACAGTGCATGACTGCCAGTTTTGCCAAACTCACATGTTGCACTTCTCTGTCTGCCAGGGAGAAATGCCTGCTGCCTCTCCAGTTGGCGTTGGAATCAAAGAATGTGAAGCTGGCCCAACATGCTTTGGCCGGGATGCAGGTATGACTTTAACTGCATGCAGTCACGTGACAGAAGCTGACAGACCACACTGGCATCTAAAGGGCAAATCATTAGCATTTTAAATACTGGCTGTCTGAAAATGTGATTGAATTAATAGAATACCTCCAGAAGGGACACGATCTTCTTATTGCCTCCAGAATGTCTCTGGACATAGTATTACTTGGTTGAGCCTCTGTAGTAAAACATTGATTTATAGGGACCCAGCTAAGCCCTAAGGAGTTTATATCCATTCAGATCTCATCCGCATTCCACATCTGTGATTTGGTGTAATCGAGATTGATAGTAAAGTAAAAAGATTTTATATTTGTATACAATTACATATCGTACATTGAGCGGACTCCCCCGTGTACCCTAGCTTTCCTGTTCTCCCTTCCCCACCATTAGTCCCCTCTGTTTCTCTAGACAGTTCCCTTCTGTTTTCATGCAGGTAGCCATACATGATTTTTGTTTGTTTGTTTCTACATGGTACCTGCTAATCACAAATGAGAGAAGCCATGATGCTTATTTTTCTGGGAGTGACTGAATACAATGATCTTTGTTGTACCCATTTTCCTGACTATGACATGGCATTTTGATTGGCATATATTTACCATGCTTGGTAATGTGGTCTCATAAAGGTATTTCATACATGTATAAAATATACAGCATTCACCCTACTCTCTTCGCCCTCTCCCTCCAGCCCCCCTGTATTTCTCCGCCCCCTAGCCCCTCTGTTTCCCTTTCTTAATCCCCCGTTTCCATTCTTTCCCCACACATCTTCCTTCCACTGAAACATGTATGACTTTATGTATCTCTGTAAAATACAAGCCCTGGGAATAAGAGAAAAACATCGTATTTGTCTTTCTGAATCTGAACGTGTTTTGCTTTTTAAAAAATTCTACAGTTAGATTGATGAATGGATTAATATATTGTGTTTCTACGACAAAGCTGGGAAGAAAAGAAAAAAAATTCTTTGGTCTAATCCAAAAAGTGAGATTACTTGAACACATGTCTTTCTCTGAGCATTTGTGTTTTACACCACGCAGAGTGGCTCTGATCCCAACTGTGAAAGGTGATGGCTGTCTAAACACGTTGCTTTTATAAGGTGAAGCCACATGAGCCAGAAATCAGCTCCCTTAGCCTCAGTGGATTGGGAGTAGATAATGTGTATTTTAACAACAACAACAAAAAGCCATAGGAAATTTTAATGCGTCATTGTTAATGTTCTTCAAAGGCTTTGATTTCTGGAATTGGACCATCTGTAGCAATAAATAAGGAGTTGTTTAGACCTGCATTTTTCTGTTTTCTCTAGCGTCGTATAGATTTCCCATTGTGTTTGTCTTTCCGATTCTGCGGCATTTAAAGCTGGGGGGGGGGGTCCATGTTTTCTAGAGCTTGCTTAATTGTATTCATGTTGGTGATTAATGGCCGTGTCTCCTTTTATGAGTCCTTGCTCCCTTGTGGCCTAGTGACATTAGGCACAAATGTGGAACTTCTGTCTCACTGCAAGAGAGCATCAATATGAACCTTAGCTCTGGACTCCTCTGGGGTTCCTACTGCAGCTAACTTACGATGGAAAAGAACAAACTGGGCCAAGAATACATATAAAGTCCTAGGCCGAGTCTCGGTGGGGAAAAAAAAACTATCCATTGCACCAATTCAGAATCAGGGAGAACGACTTAATCGCAGTCCTTGTGGGTGAGAGCTGGGCTTTTCAGGGTGAGGCAGCATAGAGTGTACCGTGAGTGCTGGCAGCGTTCTGACTTGAGAATGTGACTCCAGCTGTGTGTCCCTCTCTAGTGTCAGGCCATGCCAAACGCCCTCTGCTCCTTCCCCAGGGCACATTTTTCATGTATTTTGGATACCTCATCTGTGAAATTCTAGGCACGTGTGAGAGAGTAGAGTCGTAGGTTCATAAGCATAGAAGAAAATTTGGGGAGAATAAGCATTGTGCCCTGCTGTCCTCATGCAAGCGGATTCTTCATCTTTCTAGTGGGATATATATTAAGGTTTGTGGATAATTTCTGGATAAATGAGGCTCCCATTAGGTAATAAAAGCATAAATATCTGAAAAATGAACTTGTGCTTCCAAGACCTTTTCCTTTCACGTGACAAAACTTATATACGCAGCAGGAGAATGCCTGTGAGTACCTGTTTTGTGGGGTGGGTTCCTTCTCACACACTCATCCTTTATACCCGACTGCCTGAATAACCGAAATGGCTAGCACATAGCATTTTTACTGGCTGAAGTGGAGAGTGAATTATCTGCCATGAGAAAGATAGGTTTTCTGGAACCCATTCTTCTGAAGTGTTAGGCGTTTTTCCTTTCAGTGGTACGTTGCATGAGTTCTTGCCTGATGACCTCCAGCTAGATACTCCTGCGTAAGAAAAATGAGCATCACCCCATAATAAGCTATAACAGAAAAGGCTGCAATCACTGCCTTGTGCCTCTTTACAGAAGCTGCTGTCAGAAGAGAGGTTTGTCTCCATGGAGACCGACTCTGATGAGAAGCAGCTGCTCAATCAGATCCTGAATGCCGTGAAAGTGACGCCTTCGCTCAATGAAGACCTGCAGGTGGAGGTGATGAAGGTTGGTTTGACATAGGAACACCTGCCTTTCTGTTGTTACTACGTCATTGTGTGGTACCATCCTCTTATCTGGAATAGATGGCTATCATCCTGGCTGTGGTCTTGCCAGGTCACCTTGACTGTTTAGGAGCTACAAGGTACAGTTTCAATAAATAAGGCCTCTGACCTGCTCTGGCATATCAAATGTGTGTAGTTTCAGCGTGGGATCAACCTGACCATCTGGGTATTATACCTACCTGTATGTGCTAGACCAGAGCAAAGACCTAATCGTGTTTGCTATAGACTAAGGTTTAGCGTGGCCAGTTTGGCAGGAGGAAGGTCACCCTCCAGAAACTTGTCAAAATTACTATTTCCCTCCTCAAATTTTACCAGTCACACCTGAGAAGGTAGCTCAGTAGGGAAAGTGCTGGCTGTGGAAAGCATTAGGATCGAAGTTCAGATCCCTCATGGCTGCATTAGAGACAGGTAGGGTAGCATTTATCTATAATCAAACACCAGCGGTGGGGCAGAGGCAGGTGAGTACTGTGGGCTTCATGACCAGTCCTAGCCAGGTACTGAAATTCTGGTTCATAAAGAGAACCTCTTCTAAAGCTAAGGTGGGAAAAATAGAAGTCAACTTCTGGCTTCCAGATGCATATGTACAGCAGTGTATACTCATGCCTCTGCCTCCCACAGGTGCACAGCTGTGCACCCCACACACATAGAGGCACCCACGCATGCACCCACAAACCTACACATCACATCAGTCATAACTCCTCTTTGTCCATTCCCACCTTCCTTTAGGGATTGTAGCTCTTCTTTCCATCTGCTATTCTGAAAATCTCCAAACTAAAGAATCTGTTGTTCTGGTTGGCATGTGTCCAGACGCCGGGTAGGAAGTGGTGGACTTTGCCCCAGAACAGCACTGTGGCCACAGAAGCACATCATGAGCTTTGAATACAGCCGGCTCTCTTCCTCCCTAGAGGAGCATGTGTAGAGGAGTATTTGAGCAAAGATGGTGTCAAGTAGTGGTTGGCTTTTCCCTGAACATGTCCTGTGAGGATCTGTCGTAGAAAAAGCACTTCACTTTCGGGGTTTCAGTTTCTCCACCAGAAGAGATTGTTCTCAGTCAGTATTTCCCTCGTTTGACTTTACTGGGCTGGGAGTTTAAGTACTGATCAATACTGAGAGAACTCGGAAGTATATTTGCCTAGTTTGACCCTCCTCCTTCCACCCATAGCAGAGCATCTTGGGGCAGCTCTTCACCACTCTCTGTCAGTCGTGACTTTCTCTTCTTTGTTTTGTTTGTTTGTTTGTTTGTTTGTTTGTTTTCAAGTCAAGATTTCAAGTTAAGGTAGCCCTAGCTGTCTTGGAACTCACTCTGTAGACCCAAGATGGCCTCGAACTCAGGGACTTCATCTTCTTTAATATAAGTACTGACCTAATTAGATTCTTCTTAGTGTAAGATAAGGCAATATTTGTAAGAACTTGACATGCTATTATTCCTGATGCTGCTTCTGCTTCCTGCTCCTTATGAATGGGCACTTATGTGGTGGGTCTAGGAATATGTACTTTTCTCTAGTGTCTCAAGTGAGTCTTAGAAATAGCAGACAGAACCTGCCAGCCAATTTTTCAGGGCTCATTTCTCTTTAACTCTCTTGGCTTCTGCAACATGCAGCTTGCCTTATCCTTTGATATATTTTGCCAGCTATGTGCTATATACTCATATAAATTAGGTAATAAGCACCCCAGATGTGTTTTACTTCTCCGTTGCCTCTGTGCCATTCTTTGTGTGCATGTTCATGTATGTACATACATGTAGAAGCCAGAGACTGGTATCGGATGTTTTCAGTGGTTGTCGTCCACCTTGTTGTGTTTTGAGACAGGGTTTCTCACTGAACTTGGAGCTGGCCAGTGTGGCTACACCACCAGGCCTCTCCTGTCCCTGCCAGCGCCAGGATTACAAACGCATGCTGCCCACAGCAGACTTTTAACGTGGGTGCTGAGGATTTGAGCTCATCATTGTTCCATGGCAAGCATTTTTTACTATGGAGCAGTCCTCCTGGCCCACCCCTGTGCCACTCTGGAGAGGCAAAGATGGTCACCTTGCACTTGAGACTTCTAAGTGTAGTCCCACAGGTCTACTGCCTCTGACATCTCATGTTACATTAGAATATTATAATTGTCATCTCTCCTCTCTATGCACAGGGGATTGCAAAACAGTTTTATAGTAATTTCCAGAAACTCCTCTTTATCCTGTAATGACCCAAGCAAACAATTGGTAATTAAATTCTAATTTAGCTAATATTATTACTGTATCAAAATACCTTTACCCACCTATTCTTCCAAAAATTACACTGAGGAAAAATAATAGAATTAGTTGGGCCATCGGAGGAAAGACTAGATTCCCATGACATCAGAAGCATGTATAATTTCATCTTTTATTCTCTATGTAACTCATTCGCATAAGGAATTATTTAAACAAGATATTTGTATGAGTATTTTATAGGCACATATTTGGGGAGGTTGTTGTTGTTTTGTGTGGATTTTGTTTTTGCAGTGGGGAGAAATCCCACTCTAGCCTTGGCTCATGTGGAACTCACTAGGTAGCCCAGGCTGCCCCAGATGAGTTTCTTCCTGTTTCACCCTCCCGAAAGCTAGGATTACAGGTATGCACCACCATGCCTGGTGCAGAAAAATTAAAATGGGACACAGTATGTTGGTCTGGACTTACTACTCAGGAGAGATACTTTTCTGTTATCTCTGTCCAACACTGCATAGTACATTTCTATAAAACACCCTGGTGATCCCCACGAAACGTGGGTTCCCTTCTGAGTTCCAAGCCTCATTGATAAAAGCATTTAGAAGATGGCCCACAAAGAAGGCCCAGTACAATTTCCCTAGAGTTTGAGGTGCAAACCACAGGGTAGGGGAGCTGGGAATCCGAGCAGCTGCTGGGAGGAAGGAGGGGGGAGGCAGATTGAAAGCTTTACCTTTTAGAGTCCAGGAAAGCCAACCTGTTCAGCGATGAAGGACGACCAGCAGCTGTGTGGCAGAAGCTGGGGGGAGCTTCAGAGAAAGAATAGAAAGCAAAGAGTCTCAGGAAAAGCCTGCTTAGGCTTTTGGCCAGTATCCGAAAGAACAAGATTTTAGAAGAAGGAGAAAGAAAAGCTACACTTTTTTGAGTTAGAAATCTGACGAGTTAGAACTGTGGGAGGCGCCACAGTGCTGCATAGGCTCTGTAGGCAGCTGCAGGGGGAAGGGGCTTCTGGGGAATAGAAGGGTTTATCTCATTAAGGGGCTAATTATGCCTCCATCCCTTTAGCACATCCTTCAGTTACTTAGGTTTCCTTTGGACGGTCTTCTAGCCAGATGACTGACAGGCCCAGTCAGATTAATTCTTAAGGTAAAAATAGTAATACTCCTGTCTTTGCGGGGAGATGGTCAGAATGTCATGTCTACCCAGGGCCAGAGGTAGAGCTCAGATTCCATTTCTTATTATCTAGGAATAATGTAATTTTCCCTTAATGGGCCTCAAGAAATCCTTGATAGTGCCCCCATTTGATACAGCATTTTAAAACCTAAGAAGGGACAGTTTACTTTTCTCACTTAATTGAGAGGTGGGGCCTCTTTTTAATGGCCTGTAAGCCTGCTAACTTCCTGCAATACTGGATATTATTATTATTATTATTAATTATTTTAAGTTTCTGTCATGGATCTTGTTCACATTCTTGCTGTTAGTGTTTATAAACATGAGAAACTAAACCAGGTCACACTCCTAAGAATGTGTAACCAGAATAGTAAGTTCCTGGAGAGAAAAATAATATGGTTTCTCTTTTCGAGGTTTTCAAAGGAACAAACAAAATTAGCTGGTCATGAAAGCCAGAATTTCAAGGATAGCAGCTTGTCTCACTTAGAAGGTTCTAGACTTTCAGTCAAAGGGTTAAAACAAATCAGTGATGCTTGTTTCTAACAAATTAGATGTAAATGATGTTAAATCTCTTAGTGTGGGAGCAGCTCTGCGCGGTTTTACTATTTAGGGAGAGAAAAGGCAAATTTGATTTATGGGAATGGCCATGGAATCCAAATAAAAATTTTATAGCTTGAACAAATAAAGTGTCAGGGCTATAGAGAATCAGAAAGAAGGTTTCTCTAAAGATAGATTACCTATGAAATGGATTCAGAGACGGCAGGAGCCTATTTAGTAGTTAAGCTAAATGCGTGTCTGCTCTGGTAACATTTTCCCCTCGTCTGCGTCATTCCCATAAATGCCACACAGAATTTACAAGGAGCCATGGACATAACTAATGGCCTTGCTGACTGGAGTAATTAGGTCTGTCCTTCTTTGTAATGGATAACCTTTAGTGAGGTTATTAACTGATACAGCTGGCTTAGCTTTCAAAGACTGGAAGGAATTACGAGTGGCCTTCTGCCTCCGTAAGCCAAAGAGAAAGAAATGAGCCTCCTATCTAAGGAGTGCATACTGGCTTTTGGCGATAAGACAGGATATGATATGTGACCCTTTAAAGCCATTTGATGAGAGTTCTATTATTGGATGTATTATTTTATGTACATCCTTATATAATAGAGATGAATTCTAGTGCAGTAATTATAATTTTCCAAGGAGAAATGGCAGAGGCTGATTATTTAAAATGTATTATGTGTCAGATACTTTGCAAGGACCTTACATTCTTACCAAGGTCATACAACTAGTCATACAGAGCCAGTATCTGAACCATAATTCAGCCCGAGGAAAAATCTGCTCTCTTAAACAGTTCTCTTAGCCCTTCTCTGCTAAGTCTACCCTGGCAGATCTGCAGGTGATAGACATTACTGTTCCATTGAACAGAAAGCCTAAGGCTCGAACTACTGAAGGGGAAGCTAGGAGTAGCCAAGATAGTCTTGTGTTTTTTGTATCCCCTGAAGAAAAAATCCGCCCTCACTCACTATGAGTTTCAAATTGGCTTTTGTAAGCTGGATAATCAAACTCTAGCAATACAAAATAAAATGTCATGTACAACC